TGTGACAGTCCAGGATTGCTTAGTATGGCACATGATACTTGTGCTTGACAGATTTTGTGTTAATGTGCTAAAATAATTTATCTTGCAGTATATACTAAGAAAATTTACTTCTTCTGATATTCATTTTGGAACTCTCTTGAAACTAATAAGAATTTTAAAGTAATCTGTATATACACTCAGCTCTGAGGTGTGTGGAGACTACGAGGATCTCTCGGGCTGCCAAGAGTTTGAAGTCCCTGGGTCTCTTCTCACTGGAAACCAAGTATAGGAGCTTTGCCATAGTGGAGGGAGCATTTTATAGCTACAGATTTTTTTTTTCTTAAACATCTGTTTGAAGTTGGACTGTTATCTGGTTTCCTGAAATATTAATTATTAATTCCTGGGTTCATACATGACAAAAACAAAGCAAAAACAAATAAACCAAAATTTCCTAACCTGTTTTATTTAGTAACATCCAGAGTAAGCAGCAATAATGCCCACAGAAATCTTGTATCAAACTAAATCTTTATACTCCGTCATCTGCTCCTCATTGGGCATGAATTTTAGCTGCACACAGTTTAGCTGTTTTTTGACAATTGTACATGGAATTTTAAAAAATCTACTTAAGAATTAGACTAAATCTTTAAAAAGATGAAAATGATTTTACTTACTGCTCATACCTAGACTAGATAGAAGGAATTATAAAATTGAGAATATTAGTGTGGTAAATCAGAGAAAGGGTTAGTAGTCATGTATTCCTTGAATTAAAAAAAAAATAAGGTTTATTGTAATCCAACTGAATTTAGCTGTAGTGAGATAATGGGAATTTAACTTTGTCCCCTTTTCTGTGACAGGGCATGGGACAGAGAGCTTGAGGATATGATACCTACTTTGACATGACACCTACTTCTTAACCTTGAGAATTCTCTTAAGGTTAAGAAGACCTGGGTGAAGGTAGTTTAAGGAGCCTATGAAATGGAAGTTTGGGGACCAGGGTGCAGGTGCCTCCATGTTAAAGGGGGAGCATGCTAGACTTCTGCCATGTGTTCTGACTGCTTCTTTAATACCACAGAAAAGAAGGATTCTTCTCCATAGTCAGGATAGTAGAGTTACCAATTGAAAACTACTGCTTTTCCTTTTTCCAACAATGTGTCTTTTAGTATCTGTAAGTTAGACATTTAAATTTACCCTCAGAATTATTTAAAACAATAATTCTTTAGCCTCTGATTTGATACTTATTCTTAAAAAGAACTTTTATGGATATTCAGATACAATACTTAGAAACAATAAGTGCTTCAGGATTTATAGATCTCCTTTATCAGAATAATAAATTGTTATGGTAACAGGTTTTTAATCATTGGCTGCTTCAGGTTTATCTTACGTATTTTCTCGTTGTATCCTAAAATCAGGTATAGGCTGAAGCTTTTTGAGCTCTGATTTGAAATCACAAATCAAAAATCCCACTTAACCTCCTGTAACAGGATGCAGTTAAAATACAGGCATATTAAAATACTGTAGAACATTATTTTCAGGCTGTGCGTATTTGAGGTGTATATGAAACATAAATGTGTTTCATGTTTTGAATTAGGTTTTGTCCCAATATATCTCATTATGTGTATGAAAATATTTCAAAATCTGAAAAAAAAAATTTGAAATTCAAACCTTTCTGTTTTCAAGCATTTTGAATAAGGAATACTCTACCTGAATTGGAGACCAAAAACTGTGGGCTGCATGTTCTGCTTGATACTAGGATATTGTTAGCTCCAGGCTCTGTCTACTAATATAACAAGACAAAGTTTATATGTGTGCTAATTGTATATATATGTGTATATCTACCAATAGTAAACTAGCATCTGTGAAGTCACATGTGAGTTTGTATTGATATTTCCAAATCTATTACCATGTGAATCAATCTCAATTTCTCCTCCTGTCCTGGTATGTATACTATCTGAATTGTTAGCTCTTCCCCACTGGGCTAAAAGCTTTAGCCACTAGAGCACAGAACTTATGTATAGGTTTTTGTTTGTTTGTTTGTTTTTGCATTTGTTCTTACAGACTCTGCTCATTCCCAGAGTTATGTTGATCAATACCTTATCCTTATCCCTTCTATTCCCTTCAGTGAGATTGTTTCCTACATTTGTAGTACCTTTAGATTTTTTTTGTAAGATTCTTTTTTCTATCCCTGATCTTGAAAGTGTTTTTAAAAGTTTGTGCATAGTATACATATTATAGTTTAGTCTTTGTGCTGTGAAGTTTCATGGGTTTTGACAAATGGCTTAGTGTCTCATATTCACTATTACAGTACAATATGGAATATTTTTATCACCCTAAAATATTCCTGTGTTGCATCCATTCAGTCTTTCTCCCTTCTCCTTGAAACTTTGCAAATATTGATTGTTTACTATCTCTGTAGTTTAGCTTTTTTTTTTTTTTTTTTTTTTTTTTTTAGGTACCAGGGATTGAACTCAATGGCACTTGACTACTAAACCACATCCCCAGTCCTGTTTTGCATTTTATTTAGAGATAGGGTCTCGCTGAGTTGCTTAGTTTCTCACTTTTTTCTGAGACTGACTTTGAACTCACAATCCTGTCTTAGCCTCCCAAGGTGCTTGGATTACAGGCATGCGCCAACATGTCCTCCTAGGACATGTAGCCTTTTTAGAATGTGTGTAGTTGCAATTATATAATATGTAGACTGCAAGCCTGGATGTGTTTCCTCCTAACAGTATGTATTTAAGACCCCTCCATGTCATTTCATGACTCGTTAGCTGTTTTCTTTTTTATTGCCTGATCACAGTTATATAGATGTACCACAGTTTGTGTAGATGCTTATTAGAGGACAGCTTGGATGCTTTCAGATTTAGTTGATTATGAATAAAGCTGTCCATAAACATTCTCAAACAGGGTTTCATGTGGGCATGAGTCTTTATATCAGTTGAATATTGCCTAGTATGATCAGGTGTTGTTGTGTGATTGTTAGGGAATACAGAAAGTATTAGTAGTAGTAGAATCTTTTTTTTTTTTTTTTTAACTTCAACTAATGGCAAATGAGTATCTTTTTGTACATTTGTTTGTCATGTGTTTATTTTCTTTGGTGAGTTGTCTATTTAGAATTTTGGCTTATTTTTAAATTGTGCTGTTTTCTTCTTGTTTTTAGTTTTTAGTTCTTTGTATGTTTTGGATGCAAGTCTTTTATCAGGTATTTAACTTGACAGTAGGACTCTATGATAATGCATTGAGAGGAAAGGAGATGACAAAGAAAGATGTGTCAGTTATGATGAAACTCCCACCCTAGATTTCTGAGAAATTGGGGAGTAAAAGAAACAGAAAAATAGTAATTGAGAGTTAAATCTCTTTGGGGAAGAAGTGGGAAGATGATTCCTTTAGTTTTGACCAAGATGTTCCATCTTGAGCTGATATGAGAGTACCCAAGCCCAGGAGATGGGAGGAAGGGAGACTCCAGCACACACTGTAGTGTCATCATCATGGACTGTTGAGGAGGAAGCAGAAATCAAGGTCAATTACAATGTTAGGATACGAACTAAGGTGATGTGCCATGAATGTTGCAGAGGGAGGTGTCAAGGAGTTAAGCGTGGAATATGTTCAACTGTGGCAGACACAGTCAAAGAGAATATGACATGTGCATTGTTTTTTTGAAGGTCGGGTAGGTGACCAGCCTTTGGTATCTAGGCATACAACTTGCTTCACCAGGCAAGCACATTCTTATGTAATTAATCTCTTGTTCTTGGTATCTTGTAGAATTCTCAAACTGAATTTTACTGTGTCACACGAATTGAATCATTAGTGTGCTCTTTTGCCCCTGGGTAAAACATAGATGGTTCATGTTTTTCTTTCCTCTATTCCAGTGTTCAGGGAGGTGTGGAGGTTGGGTGTGGAAACTAGCTACTGACTGTGCTGAAAGAAATCCTTTGCCTTCTCAGAGATACCATTCTGTTGCAGAATCCTAACAGTTGTGACTTTAGTTCCCAGCAGAATTAATTATTAACACATATGAATTCTGTCTGTTTGGGAAAACATACAGCCTACTCTAGAGTCATCAAGTTATGCTTCCTTTCCTCCTTTGCTGTCTTGAAGTACAATTTTCCATTGCCCTTTTCACTAAAACGTCCCTAAAGACAAGTCATTTATTGAAACAATCCACAGAGAAGTTGCGGTATTAAAAAACAGTTATCCTCACCAAGAATAATTATTCATATCCTATTTGTGTTTGGGATTAATTTGAAAACATGTAGTTTTATATGTTCAATATGAAAACATGTATGAGTATTTTGTTTGAGAATCTTATGTATATTCAGCTGTTATCTGTGACTGTGAAAATTATTTCAATGAAACTCACTCTGTACATAGAATATAAAAAGTATTCTGAATTGAATGTTGGTTGTACCGTTGAGTTTAGTGCTCATGAGAAAAAAAGAAGGAATTTGTGGTGAAAGGCACTAAAAGATAGAATATATTCACTAAACTTTTCTCAGCACCTATAATGGTTCAGTGCTAGGTTCTCCTCTTTGCTTCTATTGCTAGGCATATTGAACCTGAGATAATTATTCACTGAAAAAACAAATATATCTTAAGGCTTCACGTACCACACTAGAGCACAACACTGGTTCATGGAGAGCACTAAAACTTACTGTTAGAAAATAGCCGTGTAGCATGATGTCTTTTAAAACCACTAAAGTTCCAACTTAAGATTCTTTTTTACTGGATTTTAATGTGATATCTTATAGAAATGCTGTTTTAACCATTTCAAGTGTACAGTTCAGTGATTTTAATTTTATTCATGATGCTGTGCAGTCATCACCCACATACTTCCAAAGCTTTGCTTTAATGCCAAACAGAAACACTTTATTCATTAAGCAAAAATCTCCCCATTCCAATGTTTGCCAACCCTATCTGCGATAGGTTAGAGGTTACCGGATCTTAGCATGATGTCATTTACTGTCTATTTCATGTATAAGAAGATGTCATATAGGTAAATTTTGTTCTTCTCAATTCTTTTACAGGTTTGACAGATGAAAAAGTGAAGGCGTATCTTTCTCTTCACCCCCAGGTATTAGATGAGTTTGTGTCTGAAAGTGTCAGTGCAGAGACTGTGGAAAAATGGCTGAAGAGGAAAAACAACAAAATAGAAGGTAAGATCTCATTCAGACTGAATGTGGATTAATTTTAAACAACTTTTTCTAGCTCCTTATAACATAAGAACAAGCATTTAATACATTCCAGAAAGCAAAATATAGGCTCATGTTAGTATTTTGATTCTGTCAATTTCATTCTGTTTAAAAAGATGAAGTTAGAATGAGAAGAAATGAATAGTAAAGATTGATTCTTGACTTCAGCACACACACACACACACACACACGCACGCACGTATCCCTATAGGAGGAGCCTGGGGTCCCATCGCCCCTCAGAGGCCTGCCCATAGTGATATAAGAACCTGCTGGTAGGCCCCATCTTTTAAAGGTCCACAGTAACTCCCAACACCACCACCTTGGGGGGACCAAGCCGTGGAAACACAGACTTTTAGAGAACATTACCTGTATTCAAACCATAAAAATTATTAATAAAGATAAGAAAATATTATTTATAGATATTTCATAGGCATATTCACATTATTGCATTTTACCAAAAAAAGGTCTTAAATTTTGTATATGCTGAGTTGGAAAAGAAGAATTGGTTTGTTTTCTTTCACAGTTATAAACTCCAATAGAACATTTATCCTTATGAAATTTTCAGTAGTAAAATAACTTTTTGATCTAAACTATAGAAAAGAGAGTAAGAGTTGAAAGTCACAGAAAATGTTTTGTAATTTTCCTATAAATTTTTTGGCTTTCATACTGAAATATGAATTAGTTTTAAAAGTAAGTGTGTTTGTGTGTGTGTGTGAATGTGTGTGTGTGTTTTGAAGGTGAATGTATGTGTGGATTGAGAGGAAGAAAGAGGAACGAAAATAAGAGTCAGGCATTGTCTTCTCAAAATAATTATAGCCTTTAATATCAAGAATAAAGCTTGACATAGCATATTTCATTACTGCAAGCCTCAGACAGGTTGCACCAGTTTGAGATATTTGGCACTTTCAAAATGGGATTTAGCTTTGCCAAAGACACATCCTAAAGTTGCAAATTTCAATTTGCTTTTCAACGAGGGACAATAATGTAGTGCCAAGAATACATAATATGAAATTGAATCTAGGTCTTAGAAAATTAAAAATTTACCTACTATTTTAGTGTTACCATGTAAGTAACTCTTAATTTTTTGTAAATATTTAAATGTGTCATTTCCTATCTCTAAACTCTTTCCTATAACCATCAAATCATACTTTAAACTATTTAATATATATACTGAGGGGTTAAACAGTCATTAAGCATAGAAATATGTAACTGAAATAGTTTGGTTTTACATTTTCTCAGTTATCTTCCCCTCCCATAAAGAGCCTTAAAGTAAAAAATGGCTTTATAAAGGATATGTTTTGAACTAACTATAGAGGTCTAGAGACTGTGGGTGAATTGAAGCTGTCTAGATGATTTTATTCTGTAGCATTCAGAAAAAGAAAAGGAAGGAAAGAATACTGTACTAGAGTAAGTAATTTGTGCAATTCTTTATACTTGATTGATAATAAATGTTTTGTTTTCACTTTGTAATAATTGATAAATCAGCCTCATATGCAGGGGTAGAAAATTCTTCTTAAAGAAAAGATCATGTATAAAAATTCAAATTTATAGTCAAATGAGCATTTTAAATTATAAAACTATTTCCTTTTAAAATGGTAGTGCTTTATACTACTGGTTGGTTTTCAGGGTTCAGTCAGTATTTTATTGAGCATATACTGTTTGTTTGGTGCTCATAAACAAAACACTTAAAATAGTAGAAAACTCATGGCACATTTCATTTAAACTACAGAAATATTTATAGTATGTCATTATTGTATGTTCACAGAGAAGTTTAATTTCCAAGGCCTTTCTCAGATGGTGCCCCTGCACATCTAGTTACAGTTAGTCAACATAGGTATAGATGTGTTCATTTGGCAGATGGTGAAGCTGTGCCAAGGTAGGACCAGCATACCCAGGGGTCGAGGAGCATCTAGTTCTTGCCAGAATCCTGAGGTAGTGGCTGTAGGAGTGTGTGGAGGGTGTGCCTCTGTTTTGCATCTCTGTGCCTCTGTTTTGCATCCCTCATTAACAACACACTTGTTTTTTCCTTCCCTTTACTGGTAAAATTTCCTTCTCTCCTCAACTGTCCCTTATTCTCCTACCAAATTCCTTCATTCCCTGTCCTTTCAAGTCACACAATAGGGGGCTTTGTGAGCATTTTTGAAGGAATGAATGGATTAGGATTGGTTAGATTTTAAACCTCCAAGGAAACCATCATGATGCTTGTCATGACATATGGTCACCAGAATGTGTGGAGCCAGGGATGTTTTGATGTTTATCTTCTCTCCCATCTCATTTGAAAGCTTCTCCAGGGAAAGCATTGTATGATGCAGGTGGAGTGTCCCTTACCCCAAATTCTGGGGCCAGAAGTGTTTCAGATTTCAGAGTTTTTTGGACTTTTTAATATTTGCATAGTTCAGTGGTTGAGCATGGCTAATCTTAAAATCCTAAATTAAAAAGTTCCATATTTTGGAGCATTTTGGATTTCAGATCCTTGCACAGAGCATACCCAATCTAGATTCATATTTATATTGCTTAAAGTTCCTTTTGCTTTCATTCATTCCTCATACTGTGTGGAGCACTGTTTAGGTATTGGGATTATTAAATGGTTAAGGCATTAATAGTCTAACAATTGGATGAAAAGAGTCGTAATTTACTGCTTTCTTCTTGGAGGTCTGGCAGCGGGCGGGGGCCATGCCTGGCCCAAATTTATAATTTTTGAGTCAGGGAAGTTTGACAGAGGAAAGAAACTAGAGCAAGTCCTTTATATTTTTTTGTTTTGACAGAGAGAAAGGGGGCTTGGGAAAAGGTAGACTGCTTCGTGTCCTCAATTAGAATTGCAGTGGTTGTCTTAACTATTTTCAATTTACTTGTATTGCTTTTATACAGTTTTCATTTCAAGTGCATAGAAGTCAAATTGCCTTTTGGAATTGACCTCTGAACCTAAATTCCAAATAACCAACTTGTAAGTGATGTTTTGAAATTCAAGATTCCTTTTTTTTTCCATTTATAACCTAGTATACTACTTCAGTATTAAAGTATAAAGTATTAAAATTTCCTCAGAACAGCTAAGGAACAGTTTTTAATAGGTTTTATCGAATAACTTTGTAATATTTGGAAAAAGCTGGCAAGAAAGAGTGATGTTTCACATTTAATTTCATTAAACATTATATTTTAATGTTAATTTTTATGCAAAGTGAATTTGACAGGATCAACTGGTACCCTTCAAGACTCAGATTACTAAACCATTTTAACATCCACATACCTCTATTTATGCATAGTATAAAAATAAAATTATTAAATGCACATTAGCATATAATGAAGGTCTGGTTCTTTGCATTTCTTGTACGAGTTACTCTTAAGATGGAATGAGGTTGCACAGCCCTCCGGCCAGGCCTGTATTCCAGGACTTTGTATGTCCTGGGAGCAGTGTTTCTTGTACTGTTCCCTTGAGGAATTTCTAGTCCTTTGGTGGAAAGAAAATATGAAGTTATTCAAGGTCAGTAATTGAAGAATCAAATGTCATTTGGTGTGTGGTAAGACAAGACTTGTGGGAAGAAAGAGCTATGGAAACCGGGAGGCTTTCGTTGGAGGTGTTGACGTAGGCATGTATTCCAGTCACGATGAGGAGGAACCACAGATTACCTGACAATCAGCAATACCTTACCTCCTTTGGTTTCTAATGCAAACAATCTCTGGTGATCATTTGGGTGGTATTGGGAAGGGTGCTTGAGAAAGTGGAAGTCAACATGACCACACTTGCTATCATTGTATTAGGCTGATATTTGAAGTAGGTCGATTAATAAAAGAGCAATATTATGATTATAATATTGTTTTCCTAAAGGAAGCTATTTGGGATTCCAGAGAGTGACTGGTTAAACCCAAATCATTTACAAATCATACTTGCAATGCTCTTTTGTGACCAGTAATTTTTATTGTTTTCTATAATAAATATAATAAACTATTCTAGTGAATAAAAATTATAAAATATTCTACAGCAGAATGTATCAGTATTAGTGTTACTATAAATGTCAAATAATTAATAAGAAAATACTGGTTCTCTCACTACCTTAAATCTTTTTCAATAAATCCATGCATAGTTTCCCTTTTTACTCAAAAAGTGTAGTTATTACATATTTTTCTCCTTTCATGGTTTGAGAAATCAGATTTAATTTTCATTCAAATTAAACTATGAGATATTTCATATTTAGAATAAATAGGGGTTAAGTTATGCCCCCCCAAACCTTAGTAGGTTTGATTGCCTAAAATTCAGATTAAACTGCATTTGTACTGATTAACATGTAACAGATGGCTTCTCTGCTAGTATATAATATAATGGCATATTAAATTAATGAGGAAGGAGTTACTTTGCCAAAACATGCAGTGTTAGAAAGTTCAGTAAGCAGAACATTGATAAATGCTGTGTTAAGTATTAGTACATATCATGAATAAGGAAAGAAAGACCTATGCATCCATGAAATGGATTACATGGGACTTAATTTTGGACACTTCCTCTCTTTTCCTTGCAGTTACTTTGTCTCAAATATTGATATTACATTCTCACATACAACTTTCATGCCTCATTTTTTTGGTAGTGGAAACCAGAAAATGTGTTCAATGCCTTGATCTGAATTATAAATAAACATGAGTACACCATCTGTAACTGGAAAGAGGTGAAGTCGATGTTAATTTTGTCTGCACAGAGCCATTTGATACTTTCCATTCGTTCTTACTGGTGGGTTTACCCTACGGTGAAGGGGTATCTCTAAGGTATTCCAGTTACTGAAGTGGCCTGGGACCTTATGACCACAGCTCTGCAATAACCCAACCAAATAAGTTGAGGTTTTGATAATGTCAAAAGTTAAGTCAGATTTTCATAAATATAGTTAGAGATCGTAAAATTCATTCTAATAAGCATAATACCTTTCTTACCGACTAGATTGATTTCTGAAGCAGTTTTTCTAGTATCTGTGAAGGTCCTTTTA